CTGTCGCCTGTGCTGGGAAGGCGAGGCTTCGGGTCAAGGGAAGCAGCTGTCAGGGTCTGACCCACTGTGCACCGCAGCCCACGCAAGCCTTCAGGGAGAAATAAGGTACAGTGAGGCCCAACGACTTCCAAGGCCAGAAAACCGCAAACCTCCACTAGGACAACACCAGACGCCAGCGGCGGAAGAACTTGGCACCACAAAGCGGCTGGGTGGGCAACACGTGCTTCGTCCCCAGCTCACCAGTGTCAGACAGGCCTCTGAGGTGCTGGAGAGAGGCTCCCTGCAGCCAGCCTAGGTTGGGGGCCTTTTTAGTCTGGTCACCCCAGGCCCACTGTCAGCTGAGGGAAGGGTGGCCCTCTAGGATGACCTGGAAGCACCATGCCTCTGCTCAGAGATCGTCTCGGGGCCAATGCATGCCTTCTGCACATCACTGCTCAGTGCCCATGGAAAGGACCTGGCAGCCTAGTGACGCTGCCACTTGCCCTATGCCTGGCGAGCAGTCTCCACAGCTCATCTGCCTAGGAGGTGCTGGTGAGACAGGGGCGGAGTGCATGGGCACAGAACAAGGTGGGCACTCTCCTCCCGATTTGGAGAAAGGAAAGGCCGTTGGGGGCAGATGTAGGATACGGGCTGTTGCCGATCACTAGTGAAGAGGCCCTCCCGGGGGCTGCAGACTGCTTGGTCTTGGAGCCCTGAGCTCAACCTCAGCCTCTGCTGTCTCCAGCGTGGTGTTTGGAGAGGGCTCTGGAGCGCCCATGGCAGAGAGGCCGGGTGGAACACGCTCTGTAGATTAAAGTGATTGAGTGACTCTTTCCTGAGGTGCCACAGCAGGCACCCATGCTCAGGTGACACATGGCCCTGGTCCTTCGGGGACTCTCCCCAGACAGGCGGGACGGCATCCCTTCATGGACTTGGACTCAGGCACAGTGACCACAGGTCAGGAACGCAACAGGGCCAACCTATCATCGGGGTCCATCAAAGGTCAGAGATTCAGTCTTCTACGGGCAACCGAGTCCCTCCCACTAAGAAGCACCCTGTGGCCACTCGGGAAGCATCCCTGACAAAGGCTGTCCTGGGTAGGTCTCAGAGTGCTGCACTTAAGTGCAGTTGAACAAATGGCTATGAGGCCGAGGGGTGGCGGTGCCCTGCTGGACATCTGCCTGGCCATAGCCCGGCGTGCTGGCTCAGGGCTGAATGGGCTGCTCTCCTCTCTGCGCCTGGCAGAATGATAATGTTGGACCGAGGGCTGCCCTCCCACAGCTCTGAGGGCTATGCTGTGTCCCCTCCTGCCCGTGCCAACACCAGCCCTCATGCCTCCCAAGTTACTGGAGGAAAATGCACATTATTTTGAAGCGAGGAGGTTAAAGATCAAAACAGCAACTGCCCCTGCAGAGTTTAAATGTCAGGAAAATATGAACGCGCTTGAAACCTTTCCCAGTGCTTTGTGGTTCTGCCCTTTCAGAGGGTCCCCCATCCTAAGCCCCATTCTCTCAATCCGCTCTGCTGGAGACTGGCTGGCTATAAAAAGCCGCTTCTCCCTAGGATGGAGTGCACGGTGCCTCCGGGGGGGCCTGGTAAATGACAGGTCCTGTTAGTGGCTGCAGGCCGCAGCACGCTGTCCCGGCTTGCTGCCACTCCCCGGCTTGGGGATGGGGCTAATGAGTCGGACTGAAAGGCCTGCTGACAGAGTCAATGCCTGCACACAAAGGCAGGCTGAATTCTACCTCCTGCGGGGGGATTTGCTGCAGAGCTGTGGGGTCTGGGCTTTAACGCTGGGAGAATCTGACCACACCGCGTGCCCCTCTCCTGCCTCCTGATGCCATCTTGCAGTACCCCCCTCTCCGTCTGCCTCCTGTGTCCACGGAGGGAGGACCTTGGAGGGCTCCAGCCTCTCTGGCAGGCCCTTGTCCATAGTGGCTGCTGCTGCTGCTTGGGGGCAGAAAACACATCCCACAGGCAGTAATGAGTGCTAAAGCAAGAGTGTCCTGGGATTCTGCCCCAGGGCAGCGTGGGGGAGACTTTTCTCCAGGGATCCTACACTGGAGTGGGCACAACTGGGAACCGGCCATCCCCATCGCTGGGTGATTTGGGACTGGTTTCCTGCCTGGGAGATCCCTTTGGCCGTGTCCTGCCACCCTGGATGCCCTGATGGGCATTACTGTGTCAGCCTGTCCCGCTCCGGCCAGGCCACTTGGCTGGGCATATAAGGCTGATGACGGTGACAGGAATGTCTACCACTGCATTTCTAAATGGTGTTTGTCAGGCAAGTGCTACAAACAGCACCCATCAGGATGCCCTAAATTAAGTGGGTGGACAGGAAGAAAATAGGATTGTGAGAAACAGCCGATCCTGAAAAGCAGATTTTAGTTCCTGTTTAATCCTCGCGCAGTGTTTTTAGACCGAAGTCCTAACTGTGACTCCAGGGCTCACGGACCTTCAGAATCTGCCGTGGACAAAGTGGCCACAGCTCTGCAGGGCACAGGGAGGTCCAACGGGCCACCACCTGCCTGAGGTGAACAGTAAAAGCTGCACAGGGCATCTCCCGTCATCTTGTGCAGCTGGGAACGCAGACTTTCCAGGGAGCTGCCACCTGGTTCCATGTGACAGTGCCCAGTTAAAGGCTTGACGGAGAAAGGATTATACTCAATTCTCTGTCCCACACTGCTTTCTAATGTATTCCTTGGACTGACAGCAGACAGTGATGTTCCGGTAGAGAGGACTCTCCAGTGTACTAATCCTCCTGCCCCTGAAGTCAGGGAAAGACCTCAAGGCCATCTGTCTTCAGTTCCTATCAGAGAGCACCTCATGCGCCCTGGTCAGGGCTCTGTGGCGCAGGGCAGTAGAGGAGGCCATGTCCACTTAGTTAAAACTGGCAGAGTGGCGGGACAACATGCCATCCTGCAGCCACGGGGGTGGGGAGACCACTGCTGCCCTCTCCTGCCTCACACCCGCCATGGGACTGGCGGTGCTCTGACATTTCGCCGGCCGGACTAACATGGAGTTTTTTTTTTTTTTTCTTTTTTGTCTTTTTCATTTTCATTTTTATCGGTACTGGGGATCGAACTCACGACCGCCTGCTTGCAAGGCAGGTGCTTATGCCGCTGAGCTAAAACATGGAGTTTTAAACATTGCTTCTGTCTGCAGTGCTGGGGAGGGAAGAGGAAAATGACACTGACTCACCAAGTGTGCATCTCATTCATCCCTCAATTTCCTAGTCGGCCTTCCTCTTGCATTCAAAAACACAGGATATTAAAAAGTACTAAATGCGTGCCAGGCGTCCTGTGATGGGCAGTGGAGTGTCGGATCCCAGCTGCGGGTGGAAAGCTGGCCTCAGGTAGGCCCTTGCTCCAGCACAGAGGGTGCAGAGGGAAGAGCTGGCCTGAAGGAAAACTGAGGATGTTTTCCTGCTCCACCTGACTCCAGCAAAGCGAGGCACTGATAGCAGGCAATGCGTGGACCTGTGGGCATGAGCCCAGGGAGTGGCTTAGGAGGCCTGGCTGTGCAAGCCGAGCAAGTAAATGCCTAGGCACGGCGACCTGGACAAAAGCCCCAGCTGCAAATGTCTGCTCCTGGCCCAACCGCCCGGCCGGGGTGACTGCAGAACTCTGCCCTTCGGCTACGGCAGCCAAGGAGCCTGGGGTTTCCCCAGTGTGCATCCAGGGCACTTCCCAGGGAAATGGTGTGGGAAGACAGGACGATACGCTCTGTCCAACGACCTGTTCGTTTGGAGTGGCTTAGATTTCCAGAACGTGGTCATAATGGTGCAGACACGCCCCATTGCCCTGGCCAGCCTCCCAGTACCCCTCCTCATTGCCACAGAGCTCCACCCCTGGGTGGGCCCATGAAGGACAGAGGTGCAGGGCTGCACTGAGGGAGCCGTGCACACAGAAGCATTCAAAGTCTGCGGTCTCTGCACAGCTCTGCCTAGGAAGGGGTCCTGAAGCAGAGGAGGGAGCTCTGGGGACACCAGTTCTAGCCACTTAGTGGGGCAGAGCTTGGTCATCACTGAGCAGGCCCACCTGCACCCCGTCAAGGCCTCTTGACTGCCTGCTCCTGAAGCAGCTGCTCCCACTGGGTTCCGCATGATGCTGGCAGCCACCTGACTTCCTCTGCGCCTCACTTTCTCTGCACCCCTGGTGCCTGGCACTTGGCTGAGGGGCTTTGTAAGGAGCTGCAGCTCAGCCTGAAGGAGCATATGGGAACCTCTCTGTTACCTGCACTGCCTGAGAAGTGCAGGGGCAGCCCAGGGACAGGGGCCCTGTGGGGAGCTGGCTCAAGGCCCTGGATCGAGCTGGGGAAAGGAGTCTCTCTTCAAGTGTTTCCCAACATCCCCCTCCAGGCATCACGTAGGGGTTGGGCAGGCAGCCCCTCACAGGGCTCTGGGAACCCCACTCACAACTGGGCCACGCTTGGCCCAGCTCTGAAGCCTCTGGCTCCCTTCACCACATAATGTTTGCCTATGCACTGACTGTCCTTGGTGGCTCTCAGGCAGGTGTCACCACAACAGCTAATCCTTATGTTGAATAAAATGGATAAAACTGTTGCTTTTATATTTCCTAATACAAAAATTAATGAAAAATGCCATTTTGGGTCATCTCGTTATGTATGTAATTGGAACGGATAAGTGGTTAAGGTCCAAAGTATGCACAGTGAAATTCACCCTTGCAGGGAAGAAGTAGTTTCCCAAGTTCTGACAGACACATACGCTGTGTCCTTTCTATCATGATTACGACCCAGAACGCCCTATCTCCCTAGTGGGGCTCCTAATGGCCCTTTGGGCTCAATGTCCTGCTTCCACCTCTAGGGAGCCACCAATCCGATGTCTGCCTCTGAGCTTGAATGTTTTCCAGAATGTCCTATAAATGGAACCCGTAAAACAAGCAGCTTCTAATCTGGGCTTTTCCTCCTTTTTAAGAAGTGTCTAATTTGAGAACAATATTGATTTCCCCAATTCTTGTTTTCCTGGTGACCCATGAGTAGGAGACGGAAGGCAGACTTACCTTCTGGAACACTTGATAGTTGGACTTGGACCATATGTCGAGCTGTGGGGAGAGGTCAGAACCGTTAGCTGCAGTTTCAGGGCCTGGACCTGGGATGACACTGAAGCCCCCGTTCCTCCTGTTACACGTGAGAAGGGAAGCGGGACTGGAGAAGCCACCTCCCAGGCCAGCCACCCTTTCCTAACCTGGACCCAGCCCGTAGCCTGACTCCACGAGCCAGGCCAGCCCTGCCTCAGGATCTCTGCAGCCCATCTTCTTTGTATTGTTTTTCTCACAAGCTCCAGAGACACCCCCCCACTTCCTGTGGGCTCAACATCACCGTAACAGAGAGGTGTTTCGTGGTTACCTGTCTAAGCATTATTCTCAGAGACTCGTTCTTTGTTTTCCACCTGTTCAAAACTTACAAGCTTCATAATAGGTAAGACCGCCTTATGTAAGAGTCCTTATTACCCGCTGTGCCCAGGAACGTAGGCTTGGCGAGGGCCTGGGTGTGGAGACCCGCAAGCTGCATCGCTCCATGCCAGCACTGCCCCAGGCCCTCTGCACGCATGTGTCCACTCATCCCCTAAACAGGCACCTTCACCTTCCGGATGATGAGGCAAAGGCTCTGAACCACTCCACGGCCCAAGAGGAGACTTCTCTGGGGTGGCACCTGGTGGTGCTCACACCAGGAAGCACAGAGAGAGGTGTTTTTTTTTTTTTGTTTTAAATTAACTCTTTTTTAAATACAGACTCCTTGCTCCCTGAGCTGGAGTCTGGACAAGGTCCGGAGTGGACCCAAGTCTGTTCCTTTTGTCTCTGCTATGCTCCCAGGTAACTGGGACACCCGGCTGGTCCCAGATGAAATGTGGGCAGGGTTTGGGGGAAACCTGGTTTAGTCCCCACAGCCAGGTCACACAAAAGGAATGCTAATGGCTCGTTCTTTTGTTTTTTCTTTTTCTTTTTTGTGGTGCTGAGGATGGAACCCAGAACCTTAGCATGCAAGGTGAGAGCTCTACCACTGGGCCACATCCTCAGCCTCTTGTTTCTTTTTAAGACACAGTCTTGCTGGACATAATCCAGGCTGAGCATTCATGTATTGTATAGGCCAGTCTCAAACTTGCAGCGATCCTCCTGCTTCAGCCTCCCGAGTGCTGGGATTATAGGTGTGAGCCACCGTGCCCAGCCCTGTTGGCAGCTCATTCCAACCAAAACCATTTAGCAGGGGTGCAGGTACTGGGAATTGAACCCACGGTGTGCTTGCTCCGCAGCCTCCCTGGATCCCGGGAACGAGGGCGAGGCTATGCCCAGAGCACACGCAGTCCTCCTGGCTTCTTCCTGCTGCTTTCATGTGAGCCTCACTGTGTGTGTGTGTGTGTGTGTGTGTGTGTTGAGCGCCTCTGCTATTTTGCCAAAGAGCTCTCCAGAAAGGCGACATCAACTTTCAGTCACTGCCCCTACCCTTCAACTAATGGACAGGAACGACAATTTAAAAACTCTCCAAGCCTCAGTTTTAATTTGACAGGTTAACAACTGTAGCAGGAAAAGTGACAAAGACAACTTTGAAGGAAGATGCCAGCCTCATCCCCTTCATTATCAGTTCCGTTACAGGAAACCACTGCCGGGGCCGGCAACAGGAGGAGCAGCCGGGGCCTGCGCTTTCTCGGTCAGCACGTTAGCCCAGCGTTTAACAAAGGCCGCCCTTCCAGATTACTCGGGAGCATGGGGTGACTAAGAATGACTTGTGCATCCTTCAGCTCTCCCAGGATTGCTGCCAAGATGACAGGCAGAGACCAAAGATTCTAAATCTGAATCTCAGGATGAGCAGCATCCGCGTCTGAACTTGGAACCAACACGGCTCTCCTCACGCCTCCAGCCCACAGCTGTGCCTTGTGAAGTTCTGCCCTGTTCCCCTTCCTGCCTGTTTGCATCACGTGTGAGCAGACCGAGCTATGAACACAGCCATGACATGACAGCAAAGAAGAATCTGCACAGACTAAAAAGTTACAGCTTTGACTTGAAAACCTTCTGTATCTATGAGATGTATTAATAAAAAACCACCCGGGGGGACACAGGCATAGGCTTAATGGAGAGATGGCTTCCCCAGCTAACTGTGGATTTGCAGAGCAGACCACGCTGATTTCAAGCCAGGGTGCTGCTCTTTTCGGAAGGAGTTTAAAGTGTGACTCAGGGCCCTGGGGATGGCTCTGACATCTGGGAAGAGAGCCGCTGGACAACGCAGTCTATTTACCTAATGCACAGGACTGAAATGGGGACGTGGTAACAATGGGCGCTCCGTCTGCTGGGAGCACACAGCAGGTGGCTTGCGCTGGATTTTCCGCTAGATTTCTGCCAAAGAAAGCCATTTAAAAGAGCATTCTGGAGTCAATGCCCGGCTTCTCCTTCGGGCCAGGAAGATCTTCAGGTACTCATTTCAGGGAGCCAGGCAGGAGGTGAGTGAATATTTATCAGCTCCAGCTCTTTTGCTGCAAAGGCAGGCATGGCTATGAGTTTTTTGCTGGCTGTGATATGCAAACAAGAAGCATTCTGGGAGCTGCCAGCCTCCCTGGTTCAGGAAAGAAGTGCTGTTCCCTGCAGCACGCAGGTAAGAAAGTCCACCCCGTGGGAGTTCGAGGAGCACCCCTCACCAAAACAGAACCGCATCTTAGGTGGGAAGTGGGCTCTTCTCAGTGGAAGTGCAACAAACCCCTGGATGACCGAGTGCCTTTGCAGAGGCATCTGTCTCTTGGGAGAAACCCTATGATGTCGACCGACCTCTCGAAACAACCTGCAAAGATAGTGGCACATGATTTCTGCTCTGCAAAGAACACTCAGGATGCTTTGACATCAACAGCAAGGTTGTCCTAACTGCTGATGAGCACCGTCACCTGAGTTACAACAGCCAGGGCAGTTGTCATTTCCTGAGGGCTGTGTGTCTGGCCTGTGCTGCACCCAGGTTATCTTGTCAAATCCCCCAGCTCCAGGGTGGTGACATCATTCCTAACACAAAAACCTCCCACTGTCACACTCAGGGGTGGGGAGGAAGAATTGGAAAGCAGACCTGTGTCCAGAGGTCCGGAAGGAAGAGGCTGCTTTTGGAGGGGACACTGGCTCCAGTGCCCTCTGCGTCCTCCTGGCGCAGCTGGTTGGGGGAGGGGAGCCCTGCAGAGTTAGCACCACAAATCTGCTCTGAGGTCTGCTGCTATGATCCTCACCATTGTTAACATTCACTCGGCTTCTCAGAAGGTTACTAACTCTTCATTTCGTTTCAAGAAGCACTACACATGATGACTTCTCAACGATCTAGGATGGACACAGAGCTCCTAAGCCATGAGGATTTTGACTTTGTGAGGAGCTTTGCCTTGAAAGGCCACACCTGAGCAGTGGTGACAATCGCTCCACAGCTGCCCAATCTCCCAAACCACGGCACTTCTCTGTGGGCCTCCTCTGCTTCCACTCTCCCCGGAGAGAAGAGTGTGAACAAGTTTCACCGAGGAGCGCAGTGTTCCGAGTCTATTATTCTCCAACTTTTCACTTTCAATCAGGACACGCATTTGTTACTAAAAACTGCTGAAAGCACCATTTCGGGGCATCCTCTGCATAGGAATTAAACTGGATTCCCTTTCCTTGCTTTCACCCTTCTCCCCAGAAATAACAAGAGGCCGTTTTTCTGAAGGTCGTCTGAACAATTTCAAAGGCTATAACAAATCAAAATGTTCCCTGCATCTAATATCAAACGGGGCTGATGCCAACACTTATTAGAGAAATCAGATTCAAGCTTCCCCAGCCCCCTCGACCCAAACACACACACACACACCCAGCTTTGAAGTGGGAAGAATGCGGTATGGGAAATTACCCTGGAGACAGCGCTGGCTGGCTTTGAAGGTCTCCTTTGATACCAGCATTTCTTCTCGTCTCTTACTTGGAGGCTAAAAGCTGCTTTTCTTATTGATACGGGGTAATTAATGAAGCTATAGCATTAACATAACCTAAATCCCCTAATAAGATAAATTCAACCAAGACACTTGGATTTGTCTGTTTAGTCTGACGGTACGAACCAGGACACCGGCCAAGCCCTCCTCTAACCCCGCTACCATGCTGAGTCACGGCTCCACTCCCAATTGCAATGACTAGCAGTCGGTAAGTCTGAACAGAATTTTACTTTTTCTAGAGGAATCAGGCTACTGGTATTTGGTATCAAAAATATCTATCACAGGCAGAGACAGGGCATCAGGGTTGTGGCGACAGCCTTGCTGGAAGGACTCTGATGGGAAGACCCCCGCTGGGTCTGGAAGTGGGCCAGCACCAGGCTGCTCTGGGAGCAGCCTGGATAATGACAACTCTCAGAAGGCGCTGGCTGCCCAGGGTGTGGCAGGCAGGAGGAGGCTAAGCCCACTGGAGGTTGTACCTGGGAGGAGCTGGCACGAGGCTGAGTCTCAAGAGAGCCAAGCTGCAAGTGGCAATCTGTTCCTGTAGACCACACCTAACTCTACCAGCAAATCTACCAGCGACGTCCCTGAAACGTGCCAGACACTTCACGCACTGAGCGCACCGGTGCCTATGTGGATATAAATAATCAGATGCGCATGCGTGGCAAGCCCAGGTTTAGAGCAGAGCACTGGCGGTATCTCTGCGGGTGTATTTTTATCATTTGTAACGTAATCTGAACAGAGCGACTAATCAATGGGCCGGAGAGAGGGCTGGGAGGAGCAGTCAGCTGACAGCTTCTCCACCAGACATCAATGGCCAGCTCACCCGAAGATCACAGAGCGGGTGGTCTGGCAGCCTAGCGGTTTCCAGTGCTGGGGCCCCTGCTGTGGATGTGGCTCTGTGTATGCAGCTGTGAAAGGGCACAGTGGGCTGCCGGTCCCACTGTTAACAGCCAGCCAGCCTGTTGCTGGCTTACAGTTTCCGGGGGTTCAGTCCCTGGCTGGCTGGACTCAAAGCAGGAGCACCCCAGACCCAAAGCAGGAGCACTCCGGTAGAAGGGTGTGGGGGGCAAAGCTGCTCAGTTCACGGTGGCTGGGAAGCAAAGCAGGGCTGGTGCCAGGGCGGGGGCGAGGGATCAGACACAGGACTCGAGGCCACGCCTGGGGATATGCTTTTCTCATGTGCCAGGGGCTCCCAAGCTGCCAACCTGGCGTTCAGTCTTAAGAGGCACACCCACTACATTTCTTCTGTCAACCATAGTTCAATGCGGATGCCCATTCTCTTCTGATGAGCAGAGACCACTCTCGTCAGGAGGGCATGTGTGAGCCTGTGTGTGTCCCCCGCTCCCTGACTTATTTACAACCTTCAATATGCACTCTTCTTTGGAAGGCCCCCTTCCCAATCTATGCTAGGAATGGAACCCAGGCCCCATGCTGAGTTGTCTCTAGGACATAGCTCACCCCTCTTAAAAGAAAATTCTGAAGCACAGTCTTGCCAGACTGCCCAGGCGGGGCTTGAGCTCGCCCTCCTCCTGCCCCGGACACCAGTGTCCAGGGTTACAGGCAGGGACTGCCACGCTGCCCTCCCATCACTCATGTTTGACTCTCAGTGTTCCATTTCAGCTGTGTATTTTCTCATCCCAAGTAGGCTGTCTGCTCATGGTCCCCACACAGGGTTGGGGGCCACTATACTCTGGGCACTAAGGTGTATTCCATCCTAAGGACACAGCAGAGACACAGGCTCTGTGTGGCTGTGGGCGGACCCCTTCCTCTCCAGGACTGAGTTTCCTTATCTGTAACAGTGGCATCACTGTCACAACATCAGACGGCTACAAGGACTCACGAGCCACTGCAGGCAGAGGCCGGACAGTGCACCGCTTCCCAGGCCCTCAAGTGTTAGTACCGTTAGTACTGATGTGAACTGCAAAACGGACATATAAATAAATAACCACGATGTGCAGATTCTAGGAAAGCTGAGTATTTCCAAATCCCACAGTTGTGTCAGCACCAAGGACGGCACTTAATGCCGTGAGTGAAAACAAACCTGGGCCTGTCGTCTGCAGAGCCCTGCAGACCAGCACTGCACTGGTGCTGGGAGGATAGGAAAATGGGGTGGGTGGGGATAAGGACGGGGGACCACCCTGGAGCAAGGGTGAATGTGTACATGCGTGCCATGTCCTGGATCCGCAGAGGGCACCTGAGGCTGGAAAGTGGGAAGAGATGCGTGGAAAAATGAAGAGGATAGGTCCGAAAGGGAGGCAGGGCCAGATCAGGAGGCACTGCCATGCTTTGCAAAGGTACTGGGATTTTTCTACAAGCCAGAGTGTGTACAAGTGTGTTTCGTACAATGCCAGTGTCACAACATGCTCCAAAAATAAAAGTGAAAAGAAAAGTACCTAGAGACGTACTATATACTATGTCCCTTCTCACCAGTCTTAAGGTTGATAAGCAAACCAAGGGCTCTAGGAACTTTTACAGTAAAGAAAATGAACTTCGGGCTCAGTGGTGGAGTGCTTATATAGCGTAGGTGAGGCTCTAGGTTTGATCCCTGGGTGTGTGTGCGGGGGAGAGACTTTTTCTAATCCAACATCTCTCCCTTGTCGGCCACTCGGGGCAGGGGGAGATGCAGGTGAGCAGGAGAACCATGCACAAGGTATGCGTCCTGGAGGCTCTCTGGAAGCTGAGGGCCGGGCTCGTGACGTGAGGGCAGTTGGAGTGGAGAGGCGGCAGGGCAGGAGATCAGTGTGGAGAGTAGAAGACACTGGTGGTGGAGGGTGTGGAGGACAGGCAGGGCTGACGTGAGAGACAACAGATATGGGGTCATCAGGAGGCGGACTGGAGTGCTCAGGTGTCAGAAGAGAGGAGGGACTGTCCAGGTGTCCTTATGTGGGTGGCAGGGACAAGGATCAAGAAAAGCAAGGGGGAGGGGACCCCTGGGAACCTGGGGGTCATGGAGAAGAGCAGGTGAAGCGTCTGAAGGGGCTGGAAGGGTCACTGGAGGGAAAGAGGTCTGTAGGTGCACATGTGTGGCTACTTTGTAGTTCCCTAAGCGTGAGTGAGCTATGTGTACTGCCCAGGCGGCACTGTGCTAGGCACCTTCTGTGTGTTACTCTGGACGCGAGGCGAGAGGGAAGGTGGGGCGACAGGATGCTAGGGCTGCCACAGCGCGCAGGGCAGGTCCGCTCTCCTGGCTGAGCCAGTGCGTGTGCATGGGCGTTCCAACCCCAACTCTGACTCCACCCTCACTTCCCGAGTGTGCCCTCATCCCTCAATTCCCTTCCACACCCTTGGTGAGCCACGTGTTTCACACCAGGTGTGACCTTGAGGAGAGCCAAAAGGAACAGCACGGGAAGTGCCACTGGCTCTGCCGCTTCCATGGCGGTGGTAGTCTGGGACCCTCCAGAGCCATGCCACGGTCAGGAGATGCACGCAGGCCACCTGCGCCTGGCTGCACCTTGCTTTCCACACTTGCTCCGGGACAGTTTGTTTTTTCAGGGGAGAAAAAGGATGGGGTCCCTAGAGTGCATGTAGCCAGCATGCCTGTGGGGGCGGGAACGTGGTAACTTGCTGGACGCACAGATGGCATCATGTCACCGGCTGGGCCTCCTGGACATGCGTGTGTCTGTGAAGCCATGTGTGTCACCTTGTAGAGAACACTGTGTGCTCACTGTGGAATGGCCACTGGGCGGTGCCCGTGAGCACAGTGGAGACTCGGCAGTGAGAGGGGAATGCGGGTGGGTCTCGGGCAGGGTGTCCGGCCCCCGGGGAGTGCCCACAGAGGCAGGCTGACAGCTCCCATTAGTGTCCACTGTGCACTCTGTGGGGCCAGATGGAGTGCGTGTGGTGGAGGGAATCAGAGAGCTACAGCGCCGAACTCTCCACGCGGCAAGTCACCCGTGAAAGGGACTCGTCTGCTTGGAGCACTTAGTGGCAGGTGAGGGCTGTGACCTCCTGGGGCCGCCCATCAGTTTCGTGGAAAAACAGTGCCATCGGGTGTTCAGATGACTCAAGTTTTCCTGTGGTCCCAGGAAGAGCAGAATGCTGAACTCTGGACTGTGGATGTGCTGGCTGACTCGGGGAAAAAAAAATCTATTTCCTCAGAAGACACATTTAATGAGGCAACTGGGGTCTAAGGTGATAAATTAGAAATTCAACTAAGGACATCAGGCTGGGAGGGAAGCACAGAAGCTTGATGAGAAATGCAAGCAGAGGGATGAATATTTTGTCGTGCAGGGTCTGTCTTTGTACTGACAAATCTGTCTGCAGATCATTTCATCTGTGACTGCAGGTTTTGCCTGCCGTTCAGCGGGGCTCTGTTCTGGGACACAGGAAATACCAGAGGAGGAGCATGGTTGCAGGAGGCTTACCTTGCCGTCTTCGGTGTAGACATTTTCATTATAGCCCTTCACTATCGTCCGATCGATGAACAGGCTCCGCATGACAACGATCACTTTCAACACCTTCCCCAGAGTCACCTGTCAGAACATGAGTGTGCAAATGTGAGTGTTTACACCTGAGCATGGGATCCCACAACGCCGGGCAGGGCTGCGTGCAGGGGGGTGACCGCCCGCCTGCCTGGCTCAGGGAAGGCGCGGCACTAGCACCCTCCCTGTGACCGCTCTGGGTGCTGCTGCCCCACTCACTGAACACCCTGCACCTCTTTACACTTCTGGCTCAGGCACCCCAGGAGAACTTTCACGGACACTCGCTGCCTGCCGTGCAAAGCGCCCCCACCCGGCCCACTGCTCCCTCGGCCTTTTATTTTCAAAAGCGAGGATCTTAGGGGTCTGGAGTGTAGATGAGTGTGCCCGTCTGTTTACACCAGGACTAGGTCGAGTACAATACAGAGAGGAAAAGCAGGCATCAAACCCTCCTGGTTAAGCTGCCTATTTTATAGGAGCTGCAAAAAGTAGGGAAGCACTACAAAAATAAGGTCTAAAGGCAAAAGCAGAGTAGCTCAAGTTTAACCCCAGGAAAGAAACACGATCCCGGAAGTGTGCTTCAGTGCTTTCACTCTTAGAGCCCACGCGCATATTACAGATTTAAAAACACCTGACGAGCGTGTATCTGCCAGGGAGACGGGGGCTGTCGTGTTGTGGCACAGGCTCAGCACCTGGGTGAGAGCAGGGCTGCACTTAGGGGCGTGGGCAGCTCTCCCTCCTCTGGAAGCCTTTGCTGCTTGGCTCCCAGCTGAGACTGCGAGGCCAACACAGCCCAGCACTGAGACCAGGGCTGTGGGGCCTGGGGTGTCCGGATGAGGCTGGATACTGCAGGTGTGGGCAATGGGAAGCCTCCATGGTCCGTGTAAGGCAAAAACTTAGGCCATATGCAATACCCTGGTCCTTTGATGCCAGTCTTCCCCCTCCCTTCTATATTTCCCCACTCCCCACAGCTGTGCAATGGACTGGTACCCCACCTGGTACCAGTGAGCACCCCGTCATCTGGGTTCTTCAAGGGTTTGAAGTGCTGGGCTAGCTCTGCATACATACCTACAGAGTACAGAATCTAAAGACGCTAAGAAAAGACACAGTACATTAGTTTACATTTAAGAGAATGCTAAGCCAGTGCCTATGACTCCAGCACTTATCAGGCAGAGGCAGGAGGATTGCAAGTCCAAGTTCCACCTGGGCAATGGAGCGAGACTCCGACTCAACAAACAAACAAAAAGAGACAGAGCTGTAGCTCAGGGAGCACCTCTGGGTTAGATCCCCAGTACTGCCAGCACCATCAGCGCACACTTGATGGGGAAGGGAGACCGGTAGAGGGAGAGGGGATCCCCAAAGAAGTGTGTCTTACTCTGCTGGGTCCTTTTCGTGTAACTGAGAATCACAACTTAAGGACATCGATAGACACTGATGGCAGGATCAGCACGTCTGGCTTTGGTCAAAAGTAGTTTACTGGAAGGGACAGCAGGACAGAGGAGGAGCAGCGGAGTCACAGCACTGTGACTCCAGCCTGAGAGGCAGTGTCTCTTCCTCCTGCTGCAGTGCAGGAGCCTGACACCCCCTCCGGTGAAGGCCACGGGCTGCCTGCTGTCACTGTGCTAAGAGCCCAGGTAACTAAGCAATTGCTTCCTGAAGACACTGAAATCTAGCTGACTTTAATGAACTCATAAACCGCTTTAGTAATTTCTTAAGATGGATTTCAGAAATGCACTGGAGACAGCAGAAATTATATGTTGAAATTTTTTTAGAAGTAAATTTTGGTATTTTAAAATTAATACTTAAAAAGTAAAAAATGTTTATTATAGAAAAATCTAAAAACAGGAAAAAGGAGTAATCACTTACAGTCTTCCACGCCACAACTGATGGTTTTTGAATTTTTGACACAGTTATAATTAAAAGTACACACCTCTACGTAATTTCAAATCCAATTTTTACTTTAGGTTATGACAAGCATCACCATGCTGCATGGTATCGTGGAGTGAGTGGACCTGCAACGCCTTTAACCTTCTCCCACTGGCAGGTGTTCCCATGGCTTCCACGTTCTCCCTAATAAAACTACGGCTGTAGCTGGGCATGGTGGCTCACACCTGTAATCCCAGCACTTGGGAAGCTGAGGCAGGAGGATTTTTGCGAGTTCGAGACCAGCCTAAGCTACAAAGTGAGCTCAAGGCCAGCCTGAACTGCACAGCGATACCCTGTCTCAAAAAGACAAAAAAAAAAAAAAAAAAAACCACAACCCCAAAAAACCCCTACTGGCTGCAATGTGCACTTCCATTACGCAGCTTCCACTGCATTCAGGGTTATTTCCTACAGTAATGCAATCACGGGTACAAAGAGCATAGATACACAAAGGCTCATTGTTTTCCTTACTGTCATGCCAACCACCAAGGGACAGACACACCCATCCCACACACTGCCTACCCCCATCCAACAACGGAGCACCAAACAGAGCCTGTCACCGTCTAGAGGGCGGCCATGTGCCCACCCTGCCGGCAGCACTAGCCAGCTCTTGCCCTGTTGCCTCAGCTCCTTCTCCTGTCCTGAGCAATTCTGAAATCATTAACAGCCCTGGCATCATTTATCTGCAAATAAATCTAAAAGACCAGGACCCTAAAAACCGAAGAGCCTAACTGAGGTGTCTTCTCAGGTCTGAACAACAGTGACCCTGCAAAAGCATCCCGCAGCCAGGTAACCAGAGCCCACTCTTCTGAGTCTCACCAAGGCCACTTTTAAAACACATGTGGTAGCAGGACATGAATACAGCACACACGTGTGCCAGCTGACACCTTTCCCAAGACTCTCGGGAGGCATCCCTCCCCGCTCTTTACTAGATGAACCAATTGGGTTATTTTCTAACTTTCTAGAGGGTTCTGCTGGGGATTTTGCTGATGGCAGCCCCGTTGTGCGCTTTACTATGTTCTTCCTTACCTTGTAACTCCCTGAGAACTGGTACTAGATGACCTTCAGGTTTGATTTTTTGGGGCAAGCTCACACCTGGAGCTGCAGTAATCTGTAGACTGTCAGTGCTCTAGGTCTTACACTGGTTTCCTTTCACTATCTTTCAAAGGCTGATGCTCTGGGAAGCCTCTCCATTTTTCTTTTTACAAAGCCAGGAATGATGCCAGTGCCCAGCCAAGCTGGAGAGGCACAGAATTATGGCTGAGTTTTACACCGTGACACCACCTCCCAGGTTCTAAAGGCACTGGGGTCGGGCATGCTCTCCTGGTCCATTCCCTACCTCCTCTAAATGTGGATTTCTTCAGTGGACAGGCAAACAGTGCTGCCTCCACTTATGAAGGAGAGGGAGGGCCCACAAGGAAGTCCTGGTGAAGGACGGATGCCCAGGGCCTGGTGCACTGGAGGAGTGGCTATTACTTGCCTGAGCCCTTGTATGGACTTCACCAAGGCAGAGCGAGAGGACCGAGTGAACATCAAGGCTGGAGCTGGAACTGCTGCCACCTGTAGGCTGGTGAACTCGTCACCTCAGGCAGTCTTCCCTCCTGCTGCTACACTGGGCCAGGGGTGAGGACTGCAGGGAGAGGGTGACAAGTGTTGCTGAGCCCTGACAGATGCATAGCACCGAGGAACTGATGAATGGCTGCTAAAGAGTCCACTGCTCACTGAACTCTTCAGAAGAAGCCAGAGGCCACCGCCCAGCGGAGCTGCCAGCCACTCAGTGTGTGGGTCCAGCCTGTGTGCCTGCATAGGCTTCCATCCCACGGGCGCCTGTTTACTCAGCAGTGAGACACATGCAACAGGGCTGGCTGGGAAGCCACAGAGGAGCAGCCATGCAGGGCCCTGGTCTCAGGCACGGTGCATGAGGCCTCCATGTGCAGTGCAAACCCGTGGGATGGGCTCAGTACTCCCTGAGCAGCATCCTTTGTAGCCCGTGTCCTTCCATGGGGAGCTGGAGCCTCCCTTCTTGGCACTGGGCTTCTTCAGCCTGTCTGGATGCCCTGGGCTGCGGTGACCTAGAACTTTGGGTAGACTAGTACCACGACACATTGCAGATGGGCCAGTCCTCCCACCAAATAGCCGGTGCTACCAGGGCAGAAGCAAGATGCCCACAGATGGGCCATGGGTCCCTTTGCTGTGCCCACTGTGGGATGCCACAGATAAACACTAATGCCATCTGTTAATGAGGCGTGCTTGCCGTTGCCAAGGTAACATTCTCACACCGAACCGCACACTGCCTAAGAGTGCACTCATGCTCCTCTCGAGGAGCTGGGCCTGTAGCGTCTGTGCAGCTCATAGTGAGGTCAAAGCAGCCCCTGCTTCTGCAGTGGGGGTCACGCAGCACTGAGCCAGGCGGCCAGCCCTGGGAGTGCCACCTGGCCAGGGTTAGCCGTGCTCCAGGCTGGGGTGCTCCGTGCCTCTGGTCTGGCAGTGCTCGCCTGCCAAGCTGGATTTCTAGTTCACTGAGGTAAGGATGCCCTGAGGGAGGGAATGAAGTGGGAGGGGAGTCGGGGATAACAAAACATAAGGAGCCCAGTTCTGCTGCCACTGAGCACCTAATAGGTCCAGTGGCTGAGTGTTACCCCTCCTGGCGGCGGTGGTGCCCTGCCCGCTGCCAGGGGCACATACTCGACAGTGGCCGTTGCATCACTGAAAGCTCGGAAAGGATCCCCATCACTGACCTGAACCCTGAGTCCTCCGGGCCGCGTGGGGCTATGCCAAGGGCCTAGGGCGAGGCGCAGTGCCCACATCCCGAGGAAGCTGGCCTGGATGGCACCTGGGCCCACACATGTGCGGGAGGCGACGGGGTTAGCACAGGGTCTGTCACTCACACAGCTGGCTGTATGTCTGGGCCTGTTTGGGAGGGAGGGAAGCCAATTACTGACGGAAAGCCAGCCATGAAAACAAGGTAAAAGTCTGACATGAAGGAACCCTAAGGGTTCTGCTCCAGTTTACTGCTTTTTGAAGAGAAGGAGGGAAAAGATGAAAGGGAGGGGGAAAGAAAAAAGAAGAAAGAAATGAAGGGAGGGAGCGGAGGAGGGGAAGCGATGGAAGGGGGAGGCAGGCCGGCCAGA